AAAGTGGGCCAGAGCTGGAAGGAAATGTCAACTGAGCAAAGCTATAGTTTCTGCTACAAAGGAGATGTGCTGAAACTGTACGAAAGCCCGCTCTTCCCAGACTCTCTTGTTGAAATGGAATCCAAATTTCACCAACCAAACATGGCTTGAGTGAGATTTTAGAAGGCCACCGGTATCAGTTCCTTCTGAGAACGTCTCCAGCTAAAGGAGCTCACCGTGCTAGCCCAAGAACCTGGAATGGTAGACACCAATAGCTCCGCCAAACTGTCCCAGAGGTATGGCAGAATATCATTCCCGGCCCCACTTGGTCTTTGCAGCTCTCCTGGAGAATGGATGAAACACCTAATGCCATTACAAAACTCTTTGCTTAAACCAGCTAGATTCTTAGACATTATGAAAACTCATGTTTAAAGGTACTATGTTAGAATATAAATAAATGTTAGTGTAATCTTTTTCAGTTTAAAGTAAGAAATGGGGAAATAGGTCTTCCGTAACAGAAAGGAGACCAAGACATGAAAGGGTGAGGGAAGTGAGGAGGTGAGAAGAAATCTAAGCTGCGCTGTGCACATTCACCAAGTCCCACGATGGGTACAATCATTACAGACTGCAAACATGTACTAATAAAGTAAATTTTTAGCAAACTGTAATGTTTGTGGAGGTTTTTTATTAAAAAAAAAAAGATGGTAAGGTACAGTTCTGAGAGAAAATAACTAGTTGAAAAAGCAAATTTGAAAGACCCAGCATAGAGGTCATCAGAACATCAGCTGTGTCTCCACCACTCACATCACTTCTTTTTCTTTCTCTTCCTTTTGTTCTTTTTTATTTGATCAGACACTCCCTAAAAAACACAAACAAGGAAACTAAACCAATGACTGTCCTTAACCTGCTAACTTCAGAACACAGTGGATGTGAGGGGAAGGAGCGGAAAGAAGAGTTAGGACGTGTTAGGTACAAACTCCCCAGGATAAATACAATCACTGTGTACTGCAAACATCTACTAACAAAAATGTTTAAATTATTAATAAAAAAGTGGAATGAAAAAGACCATTTATGATAGCATCCAAATTTTATAAAGTACTGATATGAAGAAAACTTGAAACAGGAAGTTGAAACAGAAGGCTTTTCTTTCTCAAACAAAATTGGACTTCTGCCAAAAGAGGAGAATGTGTGGATACTGCACAGGCACCCACAGTACTTACCACAAATTATTTGATTCTTATATCTAAGATTCCTTTGTTATCCCACACTGCAATAATTGCAACTGCAGCGTCCAGCAGAAAAGCAAGTTAATCCTGTCAATTCCCATGTAAACACAGCTTAGGAGCGCTAGCCCTGGACTGAGGTAAACCCCTGTACTTCTGGGAAATCTCAGGGCAGCTGATTTTATTTCTTGCTCTCCCTTCACTCCCACTCACAAACACACACATGTGTACTGCACAGGAAACACCCTGAGAGCAGGTCCTGTGTTCCATTGTGTCAACCACAGCACTTCAGAATGAACCCCAAAGTCAATACCAGACTGGTAGAGTCCATGTAGGAGCACTCTCGCCTCTCAGGTTATTCTGTGGACTCCTCAGGGAGCTGCCTCAGGGGCTTCTGCTCTGTTCCCACCTCAAGACCTCATCAACTAGACCTAGTAATTCATTCTCCAATTAATTTTATCTCTCCACCCCCATTCTCTGCCCTCAGGCGTATAAGTAGAAGGGATAAATGTTTATGGACTGCAGTTTAAGCAATGCTACTGCACTGCATCTCTGCCATGAAATAAGAAGCTTGTGTTAAAATGTAAATCAATGACTGCTTCCTTCATCTAGAAAGTCTGGCTACAAAGTGCTAGGCTGTAGCTGATTTAAGCTCTGGCACAAGCTCCTTATCTCCTTTCATGAACCAGTAACAAATAGAAAACTGCAGATAACACTTTGAATAACATTAATTTAAAGGAGGAACTAAAGCTATCACTTCCAACACTGTGAAGAACACTAATTTAAAGGAGGTTGCTAATACCACCAAGTTCCAACTTGTGAAAGCCTTTCATTAAACATTGCTTTCTCCATCAAATCAATCTCCCCATGACAGGAAGGACCTGAGACAGCACAAGTATAATGATTAGGATAATGAAAGGCAAGAAAAGTGGAGAGAGCTGCCCAATTAACTGGGCCAACTTCGCAATTTTGCACATAGGAACTTAGTCTTTGCTACGTGTCTAGATTTAGTGATTATCTGAGTATCATTACTGGCTGAGTTCTAGGCAGCGAGAATGTAGCTTAAAACAGTAATTAAACATGTGAAATCAGGGGCAGTGGCTAATACAGCAGTCCTATTCACTTTCAAAACCTCCACAGTCTCAATTATCTGTCACTTTCAATTAGATTACAACTTGGCTGAATTCCGTGTCTCCCCCACACACACAGTAGTACCACATCCCTAAAATACAGTATCCAAACAAGAGTCAGAAAATCATGCTGTTTGAATCTCTGGACTACCATTCCCATGAGCCAATGATCCATAAATAAACATTATTTTTAAGTCTTCATTATGAAACACATAGTTTCTCTTCCAGCAAGATTAGCTTGCCAACTTCTCTTCTTAAATCTTGATCCCTTCTATTCCAAAGAAAAAATAGAAATGTGCAAACTTGAGTCCATAGAGAACAGAGAACTCCTATCCATTCATAGTTTTATCACTGAAAAAGAAAATTCCACAATGTAAAAGTTTTTAATATGGGCAAAATACATTCTTTAAGATTCACAACTCTACCTCATCTGTCAAATAATGATATCTCTACTCTCTCCAATGATTTGTTTTCTTAATCACTAATGCCCTAGATTTTTCCCTTCAATATATTATATTTTTATAAACATGGTACCTAAATTCAACAATGAAAAGATTAAAATTCATCTTCCTTGATTACCACCCTAACCATGCTTATGCTTCCCTGAATAGAAAAACCCAATAGTAAATTTCTGTTCTTGCGTGTGCCCTCAGTCCTTTTTCCTTCTGTCCTGCTGTCTACGGATTTCCTCCAAATACTTCTGATTTCCCAGTTGTACTATAACTGAAGTATTTATTATTCTTCTTTCTGTTATTTCCTATTTCTTTGTCATGGTTGAATCATAAAATTCCTATAAAACAGAACTATACATATATGGTCTTCCAGCAGAAGTTATTTATAAATTCTATTTGTCTAAGGTCCAAGGTAGTAAAAGTGGCCAACAGTAATACTATCTATTGGTTTCAGGCAGAACTGAAGCATCTTCCACTCTGCTATGTAGCTCTGTTGGTGTCTGTGAAAGTGTAGATACGTTGAAATTGCATCCTTCCACTAATGTATTGCTATCTATGTGCCCAATAACAACGTTTTATGTATCATAGACAATATTTTATTTGGTAGACGAGAAACTTTATAATGCATTAAAAGAGAAACAAAAACACATCTTAAAAAATCATATCCTTTGCCTTCAAAGGGAATACTCTCTAATTCAACTACTCCACAGTTAGGAACACAGATTATCATAAATATAAATACATAATCTATGCATACACATACATAAATAAATATACAATATCACAGCACCTAGCTTTTCATCAGTGATTTATAAAATTATATCCATTTACTTGAAAAAAGGTTACACAGCATTTTAAAATAGCACATATCTAAAACAGGTAATGTTACATGGAAAATATTTTGGGATAAACTTAAAAGAAAAAATAAAGTTCAAATATTATCTACAATATTATTCAACTACTTTTAAAGCCATGCAGAGAAAAAAAAAAAAAAGACTACAGAAAATGACAGTGAGATTACAGGTAATTTTTTTCCCTGTGCTTTCAAAATTCTTATAATGAGCACTTGTTACTTTCGTAGCTTAAAAACAATCAGTTTTACTATAAAAATTCCAATCTTTTACTCAAAAAATGTGGAAAGCTTAGACTGTATAGGAAGTAACAAGTGGAAGTAAGAATAACTCTGTGTTTTCATTTTCCTCATTTAATGAATTTGTCCTAAGTAATTTTTATAGTGAGTAGTGCAATTTTAGCAGCACATCCAGACACACTGTTCAGATTTTATTAGTGATAACCACACCTCCAAATCAGAACTACTCTCAACTCACTGACTTGTCAGTCTGAGTAAGACAGCCACAAACCCAGAACCAAGGCCTGCATGAAACCCACATTTTTGCACTTAGGTTTGAAGCCAGCCATTGAATCCCCAGTGTCCCACAGATGCCGCAAGTCTTTCTCAGCGGCATAAATCAGTGACTCAAACCCTCTCCGGTCAGTGAATTTCCTGATGCCCAGCCTCAAGTTCCTCTTGTTTCCGTGTGAGCTCATCCCCTCCCATTCTGTCAGCGCAGCTTACTGCAGCTGCTCACAGTCACCCAAGACCCCGTTAGACAGCGCCTTCTGTCTACATGATCGCTGCACCCACGTTCGCGCCACGCAGTGAGTTTCGTTTGACTACAAAGGGTGGTCAAACAGCTTCTCTCACCCCTAATATTACTGTCAATTATATAACAAATATAAGATAAACGCTAAATTCAGAAATGAATGCTTTTCACCACTATCTTGCTTGAAACATCGTCCATTTACTATGAATAAAGTTTTGGTTGAAAGTAAAGTCCCTTCCAACATTTTCCATCTTTGATCCCTGTTTTCCCGCCCCATGCCAAAGCACAAGCATCCAGGCCGAGTCTTATCTTTCCCTGCACAGCACCTAATCAGCTTTTTATAGCCAGAAACTCCCCGAATGCAAAGTGCGCCTTTGGCTACTAGCCCCCACTGGCAGTAGTTTGAAAGTTATTTATAACTCTATAATTAGCATGAAAGCTTACATTTCTCATCATAACTAGTTCAAACAGTCCCTTTTTATTTAATAACATGATCGTTCCTTCAGCAGGAACCCCACATTTTAAACCTACAATATATAACTGACACAGCAATTCAAGGGACATGAGAATGTACTGAAAGCTAGCTCTTCTCTTCACAAATTTGACTCTTACCTTTCTGTTGCTTCCTATAAAGTAAAAGTGCTTAAAAGTCAGCTCTTGGAGGGAATTTTCCAGAAAAAGAAAAAAAAAAAAAGAGAGAACCTTGAGAGGAGAAAAAGTCTTCTGGATAGTCACAGAGTTACAGAATAGCCAACTGAGGGGCAGTGACAGTGGGGCAGTCACTGGAGCTGAGCGCTCTTCACCCAGGATAAGAAAGAAAGGGGAGGCTACAAGCCAGGGTGGGTGGTATCTAATCCCAAACCACTAGTCACTGACCTCACTGACAACTTGTTACTGAAAATACTTCGTTGAAAAAGGCCAGGCACATACTTTGCCTAGAGACCTACATAGTTGTTAGGAAGCCCTGAATGGGTTAGATTTAAACTTCTGTAAGTCCCCTCCCAAAGCAAGGACCTCATTTCTAATTAAAGCTGAAAGCTAGACTGACTGAAAGTGAAAATGATAATGCAGGGATAACAGGAGCCCAGGAATGTTCGCATCAAAAGGTCTATTTTAAAATTGCGTGTATTTGGAGCCGCTGATGATGGCGTCAAGGCCGTGTGCCACATCTGAGGCAGAATTTTTTCCGCTGAAAGCTCACCTGTCTCATAGCCTTGCATCAAGTATCATACCCTCTGCTTCCATTATCTATGAAGAACCACATAATTATCAGTAAAGAAATGAAATTGACAATTTACCAAAAATGTCATAAGGGGAACAATCTAAAATTAAACCACCTAAAAATCTTCTACCCCAAAATCTCTCAGTGCTATCCTTTTTTGTATTTCCTGTAGCCTTTTAAAAATATCTTAATATTTATCAGATCAATATTTTAATATTCACCCAAACAATGCTGAATATTCTTGCCTTATTCGTTGTCAATTCCTTGACACCATACTTGAATTTCTGTGGTGTTTAGACATAGGTACTTCTCTGACTTTCTTCTCCTAGCTTTTAAAATAAGAGTTGGTAACTGCAATATGAACTGTCATCTGAGTTTTGGCAGCCCTCATCTTAAAGGGCTGAATTCAAAATAAAAGAAAGCATTTATTAGCTCCACAGACATTCTTGGAACAAATACCGAGGAGCCAAGAGGGAAGGCAGAGTCTGGAGATTGTCAGAGGGAATCAGCTGTGAAGGGGGTTTTATTGTATATGATTCGCAGGGAAGCCTGCAAAGTAAGTGCATTTCTATGTAGCTTCCTTTAAGATGTGCATAATTGACATTTATCTAAAGAGTCTTAGTTGCTAACATACTGTCTTTCCCTGGATTTTTTTTAAAGTTGTTTTTTCCCCCTGGAGAATCTAGAAACAGCCTCTTTTCACAGAGAAACAAAGAGTAAGTTTTATGTCTCTCAATCCATCTTTTCTTGAATAAAGAAATCACTTGACACTTGCAGAATAGCAGGTTTTGTTTTAGAGCTTTAATAATGAATGTTTTCAAACCAGAACTATTGAATTGAATCCAAGATAAGATATCCAAATTCTATTATAAGCCTAGCCTGTCTAGCTGTAAAACCACAATAAGTTTCCTACCTGCTCTGTGCTTCTTTCTATCCTCAAAATGAACATGAAAAGCCCTATTCTTTCTACTTTTCAGTGGATATGTGAATTAAATGGATAAACATCTGAAGTGCTGCAAATTACATTGTACCCCTCAGAGATGCAGTACAGATAAAGCCTTATTATAGTACTTGGTGTTATTAAAACAATTAAATATGATAAATATCTGAAAGATAAGTTTAAAGAGCTTTGCAAAGTATTTTTTCTTTTTAAATCCCTTATAGAAATGCAGCCTCCAAGATAGTTCTTATCTGAAATATTTCCTGCTCCAGCCACAAGGGGTCCTCTCCTAGCAATTCAAATCACGCGAGGGCCCCACAGTTCCTTGTATTTATATTGCTTTGCTGACAGACAACACAGATCATCGATGTCAGATTTCCATAGCTGACTATAGGATAGCAAACAAACCCTCATGATCTGGCTTTCTCTGTGTGACCACTGAGGCATGCTGAACACCAGTTTCTGTAAACCACACAGTGCAGCATTCTGCATCCTGGCCTCCTTCCAGATTTTCACAGTAATTCCTTTTTGTCACCTTGCCCAGTTGTGTCCAATATTTATGCTCCTTCCTTTTTTACTTGTTTCCTTTTTATACTTTTCAAACTTGAAAGTTTTGGCTCACATTCCTCTTGCAAGCAAACAAAGGTTACAAGTAGAAGAAATGGGAAAAAGAGAGAAAAGAGGTAGGACAAATCAGGGCTATCCGTAGCAATCCTCGCAAGGTAACCAGAAGCGTATTTTGGGTTCTGGGAATCGGGATCACTGGGCTCCTTGTGGGCAGAACCCCTTGGTGTGGACTCTGGTGTGAGCAGCCAGCTAGAAGATAGAGGAGGCGAAGGAAAACGCCACAAGGAAGGGAATTCTATCCCTGTCGTTAGCCTCTCAGAAAATAAGCCCTGCAGCCTGCATTCAGAAAGGAGTAGTTTCTTTTTGTCATTAAAATCCCATAAAAATAAAAATAGCTTTAGAATGAGTCATAAACTATTTTATCCTATAAATGATACTTGAAAATATTGGCAGTTTCAAGTTTGGGCTTTTGTTTGTTTGTTTGTTTTGTTTTGTTTTTTTCCGGTACCAGGGATTGAACTCACAACCTGAGCTTGCCAGGCAGGCGCTGTGCCTCTGAGCTAAATCCCCAGCTCCTATGGTTTGGGCTTTTAAAAAATGTAATTTTTCTAAATAGCTATCACACCTTTTCAGAATGAGGTTTAAAGCTAAGGAGAATTCCTGTTTGTGATAATTAAAATTAATTTATTCAAACAATGTATGATAAATATCTCTGGCACCTTGTTGGGTATTTCAGATGAATCTAAATGAATCGGGTCTTGCTTCCGGTATTTTATGTACTATAACAGAAAGATGTTTCTCACTGTTCTTTCTCACCCATTCTCTCTTTTATTTTTATTTTCTTGGTACACTTTAGATATACATAATGATAGCACTCATCATAGGAAATTTGCACCTGTACATTATATTCTTACTTCTTCTTCCCCCACCCGTACTTATATTCCGCGCTATCCAACTCTCCCGCTTCACTGAAAGAATAGAAGCCATCCGGGGAGATGTCCCACACCTTCCCTCATCAAACCTACAAGCCGGAGCCAGAGCCGGAGCCCCATTGTCTCTGCCTTCCCTCCTATTACAATGCAAGAAATACTCTGCTTCTATCAAAGGCTAACCTCTCCTCTTCTGCTCTGGGTCCTTTCTTGCCCCACCTTCTCAAGGACTCCACTCCCTGTCTGTCACCTCAGTCACTGTGTTATCATCACTTCTAATGACCAGTGCAAGACTATGCCACGGAACCTCTCCCTATGTGACATCAATCCAGCAGGAGCTGTGGGTGAGGCTCGGAGGACAGAGTGCTTGCTTGGCATGAGCAAGAGCCTAGGTCAAATCCCTAGCACCAATAAGTAAGTAAATAAATATAAAAAATATCAAGCAAACAAAAACATTGCCTTCACCCTCCACTCCCTCCTCCTCCTCAGTTCACCATCTGCAAGTCTTCACTTCGTTCACTCCACAGCACACTCCATGTGGTTTCCAACCCTTTTCTGCTACAATGGCCATGTTTAAGTCCACCAACAAGCTCCACGTAGCCAAGTCCACACAGTCAGCTCAGGGAATTGCATCATATCCCATGGTTTTATAAGAGATCCACAAGGATGCCAAGTGGAACTTTTTCTTTTGCCCAAACTGACAATTAAGTTCAAACTGAAAACAGTGACACCATCTACACGCAAGAAGATGCTAAGGAATTTCTAGTGCTTGAGAACAGACACTTCCCTCAGGGTGTACTAAAAGGAAGTTAAGAAAGGAGCTGCCTGCTCTCCTCTCTTTGTTCTCTCCTAGCCCCAACACTAGAGAAAAAGTTTATAGACCTGAAAAATTAATGTATCAAGGTCATCCACCTCCTCTTCTTGAAGGTATCAGAGCAGAAATGGTTCTGCTCTTTGGCATTCCAAGTTCTTCAGGATGACATCTGGTCAGTGCTGACAGAAAAAGAGATGAGATTTAAATTTGGATAAAGTAACAGTGTTAGGCTGGACTAAGCAGGCCTTTAAAGAGAAATGAAAATGGCACAAGTCAACACACTGTATCATTAGGGAATGAGGAAAGGAGAGGTAAAAAAGCAAAGTGTAGCTCTTAGGCAATCAGACTGGTTCGTTCAAACACTCAGTTGCATAACTGGCCCATACACCGCTTCTCAAGTTTGTACTCTGAACCAGACCTCCCTCGCAGGCCCGGGTGCCTACACCCACCTGTCATCCCCACTGGGAGAGCCAGTACACATGTCTAACTGAATATGCCCCCTAAAACAGTCTTGGTTTCTGCCTCACAAACCTATTTTCCTCCATTCTGCATAATTCAGAATAATAGTTGGTGTTGTGGCCCAACTGGTTAAACCAAACCCGAGGAGTTAAACTTCACTCTTTTCCCTCATTACCACCAAGAATTCCCAGCAATTCTACCTTCAAAGTTTACCATTATGCTCTTTGTCTTTGATCCCCTTCCCAACTTCAATGTTCCAAAACTTGCAACACATTCTCTATTCACCTTCTAGGTGATCTTTCAGGGCACCATTTAGCTCGTGTTACTCTCCTGCTTAAAATCAGCCAATACCTTCCTATTACTCATAGCAAAAACAAATAAAAATTTTTTAAACTCTTTACCAAACCTACAACGTTCTGCATGATCTGGCTCCTGTCAATCTCTCCTACCAGGACTCACCATATTCTCCCCTCTAATCACTGACTCCAGTTATACTTTCTGGTCATAAAACACCCAGGACTACTTCCTCAGGGCAATTGCACTTGCCATTCCTCTGCCTGAAACCACATATCCCCAGTCATTTACATGTCTGGATCATTCTCATTCTCGATATAATCCTTCACCTTCTCAAGAGGTTTTTCCTGATTACTCTACTCACTGCTCCCTGCCTCCAGGAACATCATAAACTGACACGGCTTGTTATTTGTTTACTTGTTCTGTCTTCACTCCTGTAATAAGAACTAGAGGTAGTGGCAGTGTCTACAGCTGCATGACATATGCAAATTAACTACAATACAAGGAAAACTGCCACGACCTATGGGAATTCAAAGCAG